ATTGTTGGTATTTACTTCCCAGGAAACTAAACCAAGGCAGTATATTTTCTAAGAAATGGTTAGACGATTATGAACTCTTTGGTTCTTCACCCGCCAAGTGTTGGGTTTGATTTAAAATTCCCATGGGTTTGACCTCTTTCTTTGATTTTGACTTCTCGATTCCCCGGGAAGGCTATCCCAGGGCATCTTTTTATTTGAAGAAGTTTGTATGATATGAAGACTCAATCTGAGATTTCCCAGTGAAGACTTCGCTATTTGATAAAAGTCCTTTCTCCCCGTGCATGCTAAGTTGGACTCATTTACGAAGCATCTCCCTCTCGGCAGTACTTACATTTCCTTTGATTTCCCGATAACCAGGCAAGGGCAGTGTTTTATTTAAGAAGTGATGAATTGGTTATCAATTTTTTGGGTTTTCACTCTCCAAGTGTTGGGTTTGATTTAAAATCCCCATAAGATTGATTCCTTGCTATAATATTTGACTTCTTAACTCTTCAAGTTGTTGCCCCCATGAGATTTCATACTTTTCCCCAGAGAAGTTGGTGCAATACTTACTCTCAATGTTGAAGAACGTATTTCTGGTTTCCCCAATGAAGAATGTATCTTGGTTTCCCCTCTTCGATGTGGTGTTGGCCTCCCCAATGAAGTCAGCAAGAGGTCCCCAATTGATATCTCGATGATGAGCCACTATATCCTCTAGTGAAGTTTGTATGATATTTCTCCATTGAAGTCAGCTTGAATTCCTCAGTGGATTTTTTGATAATTTGGTTTCCATCTGCCTTATTTTAAATCAGTTTGCAATCCCCAGTAGAAGTACAGACTGTGAAACATTTGTTTCCCCCGTTGAAGTTTATGTGCTATTCCCCGGTGAAGTCCGGAGAAGGATGTTATATCCTTGTATCTGTACTGTTTTGTCATTATGATTTGATTACTTCCGGATTATGTTCCTTCCCAGTGAAGTTAAGCTGCGAAATAGGATTTTGTTTCCTCAGTTGGTGCTTATTTTCTTATGGAATGTTCATCTTGGATGTGATTTAGCCGAGTGTTGACTATACCCGAGTTGGTTTTGCCTGGTTACTCCCGGTGTTATATGTCTATTTTGTTAGCATATAGATAATAACACTCATACATTCATACATACATCATACATAGTTAAATTTAGCAAATCATTGCTCATTCACATTCATTAATATTTTGTTGACATATTACCCTGTTTTGTAGAGTCGTGTTGTCCTCTTTCCAACAGAGTGTCAACCTTAAGCAGAAAGTGTATATTCTTTCAATTTCCCCATTGAGTTGTCCCTCGTGGAAGATTTTTGCGTTAGCCTTCCTGTACAGCTCTTTGTCTGGATGATTTGGGTTTCCCTCTTGAGTTTATTTCTCAAAGGATGTATTTTGGTTGACTAATTCATTCTGGTTTATTTCTGGTTTGAATCTTTGGTTCCCAACAATATTATTACTTTGGATTTCTGCATGCTCCGAGCCTTGGTTTGATAATGCGCATTTATTTTGCACAAGAAGATTTTATCTCCTCAGCAGGAATATGTCGTCATGTCCCCAGGAAGTTGTGATTCATTCACCAGGAAGTCATGATTCATTCACCAGGAAGTCATGATTCATTCACCAGAAAGTCATGATGCTTTCCCCAGGAAGTCATGATTCATTCACCAGGAAGTCATGATTCATTCCCCAGGAAGTCATATTGCTTTCCCCAGAAAGTCATTTTTACAATCCTTCATATAACAGCAAGTAGCAGGTCTCTTTATTTGAGCAACTTGTACTTCCTCATAAAATTCGACGTTAATTTTTTGCTATCTTCTCTATGAGTGGATAGTTTGTAGTTCATTGTCAAATTACTCCAGTGGATTGAAAGTTTTTCAATATCGCATAGACAACTCATTGAGAAATCTTTATAAGTGGTAGTCTCTTTATTTGAGACAGCTTATATATTACCCTTTCCAGGCGGAATGCCTTAGTTAAAGAAGAAGTTAAGATCCGTTCTTGGTAAAAAGCCATGATTTTGGGAAACTTGTTATTATTAATCCTTCCTCTCTACCTCCAACTATTGATTTGGTAGTTTACTGTCATCCGTGAGTTGGTATCTTTTTGATCTTCTACCTTCAACTATTGAGTTAGTAGTTCACCGTCATCCGTGAGTCGGTATCTCTTTATCTTCTACTTTCGACTATTGAGTTAGTAGTTTACCGTCATCTATGAGTCAGTATCTTTTTCTTTATCTTCTACCTTCAACTATTGAGTTGGTAGTTTACTGTCATCTATGAGTCGATATCCTTTTGACCTTCTACCTTCGACTATTGAGTTGGTAGTTCACTGTCATCTGTGAGTCGGTATCTCTTTACCTTCTACCTTCGACTATTAATTTGGTAGTTCACCGTCATCCGTGAGTCGGTATCTCTTTATCTTCTACCTTTAACTAATGAGTTGGTAGTTTACCGTCATATGTGAGTCGGTATCTTGATCTTCTACCTTCGACTATTGAGTTGGTAGTTTATCGTCATTTGTGCATCGGTATCTTTTTGATCTTCTACCTTCGACTATTGAGTTGGTAGTTTACCGTCATCTGTGAGTCGGTTTCTTTTTGATCTTCTACCTTCAACTATTGAGTTGGTAGTTTACCGTCATCTGTGAGTCGGTATCTTATTACGTTTCTACCTTCGACTATTGAGTTGGTAGTTCATAGTTATCTGTCAATCGTTATTACCCACTGCCTTTTTTCCTCATTTATTGAGTTGATGCTACCTTATCTCTTCTTTGGGTTTTACCCCAATAGAGTCCGATTTTTTGCTCACCAGTGATTTATTTTCCTGGTTGGGTTTATTTTTTATTTATGTTTCCTTTGCTACATCCCCAGTGGTGTCTTGCGTCTTTAGATTTGTCTATCTGCATCCATAATCATAAGCATCGCAAGGTATCTTAGGGCAAAAAATAGGGCTTGTTTTATATTTAAGTATCTTCAATCACTTCGAAACGAAGATTTTAATCTTCGTATCTCCGGATAGAAGACACTTAATAAGGGCAGCTGTTGTACCCCAATTTTTGCCCCTAAGATCCCTCATTATACTTCGTACATTTTGCACATAATGGTTATAAGATCGAAGAGCTTTGGCATTAGGGTTTCTCTCTCTGAATGGTGGTTGGTCGCTTCAAATGAAAGGTGGCTAGAATCTGTGGATTTAATTGAGATTGAGTGCATAACCTTCATTAGGTCATCTGACGCATCATGCATCATTAGTCGATAATTCGGCTTGAGATCAGGGATTTCGAGGAATTAGGTTTGTTGAATGGCTTTAAGGCTCTTATCCTCGCACAAGCTTGTTTCGGTTGATTTCTCCATCAATCATCTGTTCGAATTAGGATTTTATTTCCTGGACTTCTTTATCATCAAACTACAGGGGTGTTCTCTCTCCTCAGCATCAGTTTGTGATCTTTCTTCAATGCTTAAGAATTAGGGTTTTCTTCTGTTATGCTTCAATTGGGGATCATTGGATTAGGGCTCGATCTTGTGGTTATCTTGGGTTTCTCCTTCTTCAACATTGTGGACTTGTTTTGAACGATACAGTTTTTGGTTCTCATAAAATATTTGTTACTTCAATTTCAAGTTAACTTGGACTATTGAGAGAAATGACTAGTGATCTGGGTTCGTTGAAACTTCTAATTATGCTCAGAGTTAATATTGATTCAAGGGCTTATTAAGTTCATGACTTTGTTAACGGTTGATTAGAGATAGGGTCTGGAGCTTATTTAGCTCATTTTATCAAATAAAAGATGTTTGTTTCAAATGCAAGTTGACTAGAATTTATGGATTCAACTGAGATTAAGGTTCATTGGCCAAGAATGCCATTTGAAGTCATCTAAGTTCGACTTGTCATGAACGCTTGAGTTACATTAAGGATTGATTTAAGATAAACGTGGAACTCTTGTGAATTATGGATTGAGATGTTTCTTATATAAGTTTGCAAGTATAATGTGAATTAGGGTTTATTTCCTCATTAATGTGATAGCCATGGAGTTTCTTTTGTGAGGTCTTACTTCTCTACAAGTTTGTTTAGTCAGACGACATACTTGATATCACCAGGGGTTGAGAGTTAAGCAGGTTTTGTTCATTAAGGTTGATATCATTTTACTTAGGATGCTAAGTTTTCTTTTGAAGGACCTCATTCAAAAGAGGAGTTTGGACATGGAGTTCGGCATTAATTGAGTTGGATTATTTCTGAGAGGTTTTGGACCAAAATCATTCTTAAGCCAAATGTTGATTCTTGATCTTATTGATAGTAAGGAATTGAAAGTGCAAATTCATTTAAAGGAAAAGAGTTGTTGCCTTACATCGCCTTAGTTAAGCAATGTTCAAGTTTATAGTATCACCATTCAAGTTCATTAATAATCAAACACTACTCATAATTCATCGTCCAAAACTCAAAAGTGATTCAAGATGGTTGTCCAATCAAATTTCGTTCAAGCATAAAGTCCATACAGAGATTTCAAGACGCATTCACCAAGATACATTCAGGGCATTATGCACATTGCACAAATAAAGATTACATACGAGAATCCTATTGTTCTGAACCTATCCTAAATGGATTCACATTCTAAATGACCATGCTTCATTGTAACTTCATATTTCTTTAATGTGTTGGACACCAGCACCTGCTGTACGAAGGAATAGCCCTGCATTAGAACATCAGAAGATATAAAAAAGGAAAGCAGTAGAGCTAAGGGTGAAGCTTAGAGCCATGCTTGAGAACAAAAGAAAATTAATTGAGTTGTACGAACAGGCGGCTGCTGAAAATAACAGAAATATTACTAAAAGAAGAAATTCTCAAGAAATTCGGGGCACTTCTATGGCTACAGCAATGCCAGCAGCAAGTTTCCAAAAGCTCAAGTCACTGCAAGGCCTAATCAGTATTTGTCGATTGCAACTAGTGGAGGCTTGAATAAACAAAGAACTGGGATTACAGATGTCGTTGCTGTTGCGCGAATTTTGAATGCTACTTTGGTTGTTCCAAAATTGGATCAACGATCTTGCTGGAAAGACTCCAGTAACTTTTCAAAGATCTTTGTTGTTAATTGGTTTACCTGCCAAAATTATCAAGCAACTCCCAAGTATTAATAATGGTAGGAAAGCATTATCTGCATATAACATGCGTGTTCCAAGGAAATGTAACGAGAGATGTTATATAAATCGTATACTTCCTGTACTCGTGAAAAAGCGTGTTGTTCAACTCAACAAGTTTGAATACAGGCTTGCAAGCAGTTTGGATACTGAGTATCAGAAGTTGAAATGCAGAGTTAATTACCAAGCTCTAAGATTTACTGATCCAATACAAGAAATGGTTGGAAAATTGGTCAAGCAGATGAGGATGAGAAAGAAACATTACATTGCATTGCATTTGAGATTTGAACCTGATATGCTTGCATTTTCTGGATGTGACTATGGCGGGAGAAGAAAAGAATTTCACAATTAAATTCAAGCTCCGATTCAGTAACAGCTGATAAAAGAAAATGAGAAACAAAATTAAAGGGGAAAGAAAAATCCAGTTCAAAGGAGAAGGAGTTAAAGCAAAAATTGGCAAAGGAGAAACAGAAAACCAGAAAATCATTAAATCAGAATATGCACTAACAATAATAGAGTTTTCTTAACTGCCAGCTCATAAACTTCATACCTATAACAAAATTCTCTAACAAAGATAACAGTTTCAACTACTTTGAACCTGCTAACTAACTGGAAACATAACGATATAACTAACTTCTGTCAATTTTAATCTCTCTGTCAATCTATAATAGAAAATCCAACCACCTGAGCAGAATTCCCTAACTGCCCTAACTGATAACAGAACTTTAAACCAACCTATAACCAACTGTAACAAACTTCCAAATAATTGCTAACAGATTCTAAGAGCAATGACAGAAAGGGAGGGGAGTGATTCGGATTCTCTTTTTTCTAACTCTATAGAAGAGATTAAGACAAAAAAAACATACCAATGGAGATTCACGCTGGAATTCTGTAGAAGAATCTTCATCTTTCCCTTCTCTGACCTCATTCTCCCCTACCTAATCATCCTTCTTCCTTCTCTATAACAACCACATCAAACACTTTCATCAACCTATATAAGAAAAACTCACCTTCATTCAATAGTAAAACCATCATTTCATGAATTCATTCTTGACCCTCTTCATAAGTTCTCTCAGCAAACTCTCTTCTCTCAACCGTTTTCTCCATTTTTCTTCACTCATCTTCTACCACCACCTTCCAACAATTTCACTCATTATCCTTCGCTGAACGCACACTCACGGAACCTCCATCACCCCTAACCTTTATCTTCCTCAACTAAACTCTTCGCCATCATAATCACTTTCAATCCTTCATCTTCAAGACCCTACAATTATTTATCAAGGTGCATCTTCGATCATCGTCATCAACTAATAATCCATAATCATTGCTCAATCTTCACCATCGAAAGAGGAAGCATAGCAATCCTGAAACAGATTCGCAGAACTGCAGCGACAATTTCAACATCTTCTCTTCATCGCCAACTTCAAAGTTCTCTCTGCAACATCCCAACCAGATCACACGCATCAGTAACAACAACAAATATCGTGTACGCAAAACACCAAAGGCAGTAAAATGAAATTAGAAGAAGCGTGAAAAAGAATAAAAGAAGTAATAGGATTCACGGAGAAGATTTCATACCGAATTTTCATTGAAGATCTTTTTCCGGTTCCTTCTCAGCACCGTCGATTGAAGGCGCGTTGGAACATTTGCCGGCAGGTAATCTTCAGTACTCTCTTTGTTTATATCATATCTCTGTTTGTATGAATCGAGGCCTAAGAGAGGAGGCGGATAACAAATCATTCACGGAGTATTGAATCGCAAACGAGACTGCGATAGATGAAGGTGAATGTTATGATAAAGAAAAGGAAATTTTGTTAATAGAGATAAGAAATTAGAAGTGGATGATGGAAGTGCAGATTCGGTGGAGATCTGCGAAGAAGATGATGGCGTAGTTTTCATGCGAAGTAGAAGAGGTTGCAACGAAAACGCCTGAAGGAAAAGGGAGGCGATCGAAATCGAATCAGAATGGCGGGGGATCAGAGCTGCGCCGTAGAGATTGAGAGAGGAAAGAGGGTTTGTGTTCAAAGAAGTGGAACGGTCACATTCTAGACCTGGTTTACAAAACACAGCGTATCAACTCCTTTCTCTTTAGCTTTATTGGTGGATCTGGATAGGAGATGTTTTGGGCCATTATTGTATGAAAAGCCTGATATCCGTTTTTGGCATGGCTGGAGAAAGATGAATAAAAAAGGCTTAGCAAATTGGGCTCAGCATCCCACTCCATCTACACCCTTTTCCAGTTCACTACACCTCACAGCTAATTCTTAGTTTCTTTTAAATTTTTGTTTTGTAAAGCAATTAATTCTGATACTTCCCTTTACAAGTTTTAACTGAATTTTTGTGTGGATATTAACATGTTGATTTCTGACTTGGTGATATTTTTTTTCCATAATTTTTTTTATTATTAGTTTAGGAATTAATCGAGCTAATGCTTGTCTTATGTTTAGAATTAGGGTTTTAATGCGTTTTTTGTCGATCCTGTATCCTCGATTCAATTACCTTGGCATGATCAATGGTTTAACAGAATTTTTGATTATGCGCCGCATTCGCGACACGTGTTTGCCTTTATCTTAATTGGATATTGTTTCTGACATTGTTCGTTTCATGGTGAAGCTTGCTCGACGCGTACTCCCTGCTTTTTCAGTGCTTTCGTTTTCTCTTGACGACTTACTTGCTTTTGTAGCCTCCGCTACTACCCTTGTACTTCTCCGCACTTTATCGCATTTCATTATCGCTTTCTAGATATCCTGAGAAGTAGGAAATAAAGAGCGTGCGCTCGAAGTCGCTGTTTAAAGACCTGTAGCATGCATTCCGCACTTCATTTTCTATATGTGTTGTGCTTGTGTTTGTTTACTTTCTTGTTGATCGATGAGTCACTAAATTTAGAAATTGAGATCACGACTTCGCTCTCAGTGCATGCTCCCTATAGGATTTTATCACTTTCCTTTCTTTCTTATTGATCGATGATTCACTCAATTTAGGGATTGAGATTACGACTTCGCTCTCATTGCATGTTCCCTATAGGATAGTTTTGTTAGACTTTCTTTGGCATACTAACCTAGGCAGGATCTCTTTAGGTGCTCTCTTGATCTTATTGGCTTGTTTGCTTTATCCATGTACATACCATGTTCCCTTAGGATGTGCTTGCTCTGTTCGAACACAAGTTAGACCTTAGATTACAAACCATGCATGCTAACAGTAGGTAGAAACTTCCCCTTCCATCCTTGACATAGGACTACCATTGTATGATAACATTAGGTTAGAGATATATTAGTCTCCCTTAGATGTTTTCTTCCCTTTTTGCATCATTGCACTTAAAACTAAAACTTCTTCTTTTTCTTGGCAAATGAATAAAAAATGCTAAGCATACAAAAATTCTTTTCATAGTAAAAAAAAAAAACAACCAATCCATTTCTTTTCTCCATTCGGCTTTTCTCCTCTAAGAGCATGTTAGCTCCTTTCCACTACAGGTCGTAAGTCTCCAAAGGTCGAGCAGCGGTGGAATGATCGAATGCAACATTGTTCATTTAAAAAATACAAATAAACAAAAATATATGAGCCAAACTACGGTAGCTCTGATTCCTCAAAAAGGATACGTAGGCATTGGGGTAGGGCCCAAGCGAGTACAAATTTATTTTCCCTAAATTCTTTCTCCTTTCTTTGCATGCATTCCCTCTTAATTTATAATCATTAAGCATTAGATTAAACACACCCTTTGATTAGAATAACGAGAGTGGATCCCGTAGAGTACTATGGACGTGTGGGGTGCTAATACCTTCCCCTCGCGTAATCGACTCCCTTACCCAATCTCTCGTTGCAAGACCTTGATTTCCCCTTTAGGTTTTCTTCGATGATTTTCCCTTCCCTTTCATATGGGATAAATAAATACTCGGTGGCGACTTCATTGATTTTTACCGCTACAACCACCTTGAACCTTGCCCATTCTTTAATACAGACTGGGGAAGATGTGAAATAAACCATCTTGCCAAGAGAGTAGTGCAACACATAAGGACGCCTCTTTTCCTCATTGTGCGAGTGTGAAAAGAGTGTAGGATATCCCCTAGTAATAAAGGCATCGGGTTGCGGGATATGAAGATTTTGACAGCGTTCACATCTATGAGTTGATCAGGATTTGGAAATAACACCATCCCATAGATGAGGAGAGCCACAATTTCCTAAAAGTCTTGCAGATCCAAGGAATTCCAACAACTTTGGGCTTTCTCAAACAGGAACTTTGCTAGGAAACCCTTGACACCACTCCTTGTTTCCCAATGAGTTGTGACATCAGATGAGTGCAAGTGTAGAGCTTGAGAAATATCTTCTGGCTTTGGGTCTCTTTCCGTACCGTTGAAAGGTAGTTGATTGAGAATGGGAATCCTCAAGAGTCGGGAGAATTATTCCAAAGTAGGCACAAGTTAATAGTCGGGAAATGTGAAGCAATAGTGTAAAGGATCAAAGAACTGAAAGAGCGCCTTCATCATGTCCTCATCTGTGTTGGAGGTGACCAAGTTGAGTAGGCGACCATGTCTCTCGGTGAATGGAGAGTTTTCAGGAATCCTTGAAGCTAGCTCCCTGAGTTGTGGAGGGATCCTTACAAGATTGACTTGAATAGTTTTCCTGCGAAGTGAATCCATATCCTACAAAGTAAGAACAAAGATGAATCCCAAAATCCTTGAAATGGTTAGTGGATGTATATGATGTTTATGATGTTCATGATGTTCATGATGTTATGTACAAGTATGTATATACAAACAAAACAAATAAATCTTTAGGTTTAGGCTTGCATGGAGTTTTATAGGTAAGTACCCTCTTGAAGTTTAGTTGGCTTAAACATGTCCTAGTAATAGTAACTGGGTTCTAAGGAGCTCAATATCACTAGTTTGTTTCCTTGGTCATTGTTTTAGCACAAGCCTCTTTAATAGCGACCGAAATATCCCAAGAAACCAAACCTCAATGAGTGTAGTATCAAGTATCTACCAACTTCGGACTGCACCAAAGCCGGTCATCTCACTATATCCTAAAGGCCAAGTTGGTCAAGTAAAGGCTCTAAAAGTTCATTAGTGCTTCATGACATTACTCAGCGGCCCCGTATTCTCTTTGATTAACTCAAAGGCTATCGGTACCCACAAATATGTCGCACTAACGTAGCTATTGCTTAGACCATGTCGGTATACCCCGCACAATTTCCATAATGTATTGCTACTTACCTATAATGTATCCCAAATCCGGGTAGAGGATTCAAACTCAAACAAAGAACCATAATGTAAACCATACAAGTCAAACAATGTAAGCAAGTAAATGTGATCTAACCCTAAGGTAACCCCACTTTTAGAATTATACCCAGCAGAGTCGCCAGCTCTATGATACGGTAGGAGAACTAACTTGAGGGGTTTGCGTTTGATCGCAAATGTTGCGGTTAGCAAGAGTCGCCACCGACTTTTCTTTTATCCAAAAGGAAAGGTGAAAAAGCACAGGAAATACCTTTGAGATTGTTTCTTGAGTTTGGGGGGTAGATTATGAAAAGGGAAGGTATTAGCACCCTTTTCATCCATGGTTTTACATGGGCTTTTAGTTACTTACTAGATCACTTGCTTTTGTTTGAAATTGTGTTTTGTGTAGTTTTTGAAAGTATTTTGTAAAGAGGCCATTGTTTAGGCAATCTTTGTAATGATTCTCATTCGTAAGAATGTATACAAAGATGTTGATCTTTTGAAAATGTTTTCAATTTTGTAAGATGTTTGAAAGTGTATGTGTTTGTTTTGAAAATAGCAAGGATGTTTGTTTGAAATTGAGCAAGTAATTAGGAGCAATCTACCTACTCAAATGTCTTTCTTGTTCATTTTCTTTTCCTTTGACTTTGTTGTCTTACCATTAATTTGGTAAGTAACCCTATCTTTGGATGTAAACGGGATGGGTGTGGGTCATCGTATAGCCATGATTAGCAATGTTACAAGGTATCTTAGCATTCTTTTTAAGGGACTAAGATCATTTGTAAGGCAACTTAGATAGCGTTATCGAGGGACTATGATCTTGTATTTTGCTTATTTTGCTAAGATATCTCACATGCGTAATATGGTCGTTTTTGTAAGGCAACAAAGTGGGTTTACCCTAAGGGTGTATGTGTGCAAATGTGTTAATTTACATGTATTGATTTGTCTTTGATTAGGGTTTGCTATTTGGTTAGTTTTAATCTTTCCAATACAAACCCTAATTACTAGCAATTGTATATAAAAGCGATAAATTGCAGAAATTAAAATATACTAAGCTATTACATCATTAGGGGAAGGGGGTGTACAAATTTACAAATGGGGATTTTGCAAGAAAATTAAATCTAATTAACTATTACAACCATATTGAATAATGTACAAGAATTGAATAAAAATGCACAAATGCAAATGGAAAAGAACTGATTTTTATTTGGTTTTCATGAAAAGGTTTTAACCTAAATCTAATTAAGAAAAATGATTAATTAAAATTAATTAAGTTAATTAAGAAATAAATTAAATTAAAAAAATATTTGTAGGTTTTTTATGAAAAGGTTTTAAATTAATAAAATAATATGGAAATTGATTAATTAAAAAACCCAAGTTCTAAATTAATTTTATTTACAAGAAAAAAATATATTATTTAAACCTAAACCTAAATATTAATTATTAAAAAAAAGAAATTAATTTGTTAAAAGAAAATGTTTTTGGCCTTTTTGTTTTATAAGAAAATAAAATAAATATGAATGCAAAAAATAATAAAATAAATATTTTTGGATTTTTTGTTAATAATAATAAAAGTAATGTTAATAGTAATAATAATAATAATAAAAGCAAATATGAAAGTAAAATAAAAATATAAAAAAATGAAATAAAGAAATAATGGGTCAGGGGGGTGCTGAAGTAAAGTAGGGATTAGGAGTCAGCAAAAAAACAGAAGGCCCACTTGTTGGAAGCCCAGGTGCCTAGTTGAACAAAAATGAGAAAAAATACTAAAAAATAATGGCAAAAGGTAGCGCTGGGTATTGAACCCATGACCTATAGACACGCGCGCTACCTTTGCCACTGGGGTGGCTGTACATCCGTTAATACAAATGAAACAATAAATACATAAGGTAAAACGTCTCCATGACCTGTACTTCGTCTTCAACCTTCAGCCAGCCGGACCATCTATATCTCATTCATTTCTCAACAAAAAATGGAAAATGCAAACATGAAAGTTGTGCTATGTTTCCTCATGAATCTAACCATATAACTTATGTAAGCTAAAAGTCAAAGATGAAGATTAATTTTTCTGGCCCTAAATTGAAACCTAATTTTTTCAGAAAGTTCAAATCTGAAATTCTCTACATACAATCATTATAAATGAAAACCATGAACATGGTCAATTTAAGAGCAATGATATCTACATTTTATCTTCATAAATCAGAAACAAATGATGCCTGTATGAAGAGATGGAAGTTTGAAAACTTACCTCTTGCAGCTGGAGTCATAAATGGAGTTTGAGCAACTTTGGAGATGGCATGATGATCTGTTTAGCTTGCCTGGACCTCCTTGAGTGTATTCCAACTCTTACTTTGCTTTGAAAGTCCATGAATCTCCCTACTCAAGTCAACCTACAAGCTTGATATTTGAAAATGGTGGATAGTGATTGAGGGGTTACAGTCTTGAAACAGGGACCTGGATCACTTGTGTATGATGTATGTAAGGTGTTTGAATGATTAAGAATCAAAACGCACAAGTGG